GGGGCCGCGGCGCAGGCAGAGGCCGGAGCCCGCAGCGGGCGGCCCGAGCGCGCCAGGGATCCGAGCGAGCGGTACATGGCGCGGCGGGATCCTGGGTACTTCGGCGCTGTGGCCACGCCCCCACGGGGCCGTCAAGCGCCCCGCCCACCGAGCCTCGGCTCTTAGCCAATCAGCGCCGCGAAGCGAGGGGGTGGGGCGGGATCAATGCTGAGTGGCCAATAAGGAGTAAGGGGGCGGGCTAAGTGCCTCGTGGGGCGGACTTTTGAAGGCCGCGGCTTCATGGGAAACGAGGGGGAAGGGAATTGTGGGAAAGCGAGTCTGGTGACGTCGAGGCCCCTAGGGAGCCAGGTAGTGTTCGCCTGGAAAATACCTTGGAAGGACATACTCAGTTATTTGTGATGACATCTTTCATTAGGGGTTCTTTCTGCTGGAAAGAATCTAAAATTACTTTTAGATTCTTTACTAATCTAAAATTTTATTTTAGATTACTTTTATTACTTTTATCATTTTTATTTTATTATTATTTTAGTAATCTCAAATTACTTTTAGATTATTTTGAATCTAAAATTACTGCCAGACTATATCTTCATACACCAGCCTGCATGCTAGGGCCTCAGTACTCTCTCTGGAAGATCCATGTCCAGGTACATCCAGCTAGTCCCGGACCTTAACTGTTTTGTGGACATATTGTGAGAGTCACTTTTTGTACGATTACCAACAATTTTCTGGAACAAGTATTTAGATTTATTTTAATATTTTGAAACAAATGGGTGGGTTGGGGCAAACTTGACTCTCCAAATGCGTCACGGTGATAGCTCCATCTCATAAAGTCAAATGCGTGTGGCTCACCCTTTAGTTCGGGCAGTCCTTACGACAGTGACGAGCTCCAAAAAGACCACGCTTGCTTTCCCGTGGTGCTGTTGAAACAGTTGCTCTGTGGTTCCCCAGAGTTGACTTAGAACACTTGCTTCGTGGTGAGGCAGCGACCAGGTAAAAGGTCCAGCTACCCTAGGACAGTCATGTTGTGGGGTGAAGGGGTCACATGTAGGCATTCTGGTCACCAGCCCCAAATCCCAGCTGACACCCAGGGTCAGTTCTCAGGTAAGGATGAGCATTCTTTAATATCCAGTACAGACTCCTGTAACTGGAAATCCAAACACACGACAGGTACCAGTCTTACTGTTTTAGCCTTATTTCTCTGCTGTTCATCTTGGTTCTGCACTTTTCGATATGCAGGATTCAGCCTTCACATCTACATTGAGAGAAAGAGAGAGAGAGAGAGACCCTGAAACTCTCCCAGGAGGGTGTGAAAGTGCTTTCCCCAAAGCCCTTAGAAAACCTCTTTTCAAATCTCATTGATCCCAGTTGTCATCTAGTATTAATCATATTTTTAAAGTAATTTAGAGCTACATGTACGAACATAATGTAATATAATTTTTTAAAAAGCTGTCTTTTATATGAAAAATTGTCATTGATTCCTAAATAGGCAGTGTTGGTCACTAAAATTTTAGAGTCAATTTATATGAATATAGTTAAAGACTCAAATATATCTGAAAGTTCTGGTTCGCTCAATTTTTATAGCTCTTCTCCCTCGCCCTTCAGTTTTCTATTTTAGCTTTCTGCAACATAAATGTTAAATGATGTAAAAATTAGACTTTAAATTAAATCCTTTCCTTAACATTCATAATACAGTGCCCCATTTTCAGAATTTTAGCTGACTTTGCCACTCTCAAGGGATTTTCTTAGCTTTAGTTTCAGGCTGAACTCAAAGTTGACCTTGCAGTTTATAGCTGTACTGTGTCACTAAGAGAGCACCTTCACAACTTGATTCATTGTCATTTCCATTTAGAGTCCTGCCTGCTTCAGGAAGATCAAGGCAAATTTACTTTCACTAGTTTTAAAAGGACTCGTGTGTAAATCTTGTTTATGGACGCCTTTTCACAGTTTACTACAGGGATGAGAAGTCACCTCTACTAGGTTGACACTAGCCCAACAAGCCATCGCTGGCTTGTTCCCTCAGCCTCTTAATTCTCTGCAAGACTGTATCTTGGTTTTATAGGACTCGTAAAATGAATTTTTAACATTTGTAACTGTTGATAACTAATAATAACCCCGGACTTACCTTTCTCAGTTTTTAAGTTTCTTGTGACCTCTGATGAATCTATTTTTCAGTTAGTTAGACAAGATAGTCATTAATAGGAGTTGTCCAGAGAACAAACCATTTTATCTCACATCGTCACCAATTTACATTTTCTATAAGTTAAATTATAGTCACACATCAACACATTTTTTTCTGTTTCTTTTAATGTATAGTTTTAGTTATTAATATCTTATTTCCTTTTGACTTACATTGTAATTTTCCCCCCAACTTCTTGATTTGGAATCTACTTTATAGTTTCTACAAGAGTGGAGTATAAACTAATTTTGATACCTGAATGATTGTAGGTGACCCAAGAAGGCAGCATTAAATAACACTGATTATTTTCCTACTCAGTTTTCTCCAGTCCCGGTTAATCTTTTTGGGTGAGTGTGTGTGTGACTGTATGTTTTACAGTTGTTAACATCCTCCTGTAAAATGAGAAGAAAAATCTTAGTTGAAGTTTATCTACTGGTATAGATTTCAACTACAATTTAGTATTTATTTGTATGTTTTCCTTCTAATTATCAGTAAAACTGATTTTCTGCCTGCAGCAGCAACATGAATTCCAATTTTATTTTAATAAGAAATAAATATTTTTTAAAAGTTAAATATTGTGAAAATACTATACAAATGATTAAAATTTGAGAAATTTTGGCTGAATTAATTAGCTTTGTTGATGGTTAAAATGTACTTAAAGTGTTTAAATTAGTGGTTGACATACATTTTCATTTTAGGGTACATCCTTTTATCTATGTAAAAGAATGTTTTTATTTAATGTAGGACTTTTTTTTTTTTGCCTTGAACTTTGATAATTATATTGATCTGCTTTCCTCTTGGTGACACTAGTGTGGTTTGTTTGTGTTTCTGCTTTACTTTGCTTTCTGTTCATTTTCTGAGACTCAATGTTCTGCAGTAAAGGCCAAATCAACATGCAAAGGTTTTCTCTTTCCTCTGTTGAAAATCTCAGCACCTTTTAGAC